ACATAAACAGCATTAAATAACTTCAAAGCGAGGCATTGTGAGTATGCTTTTTGTGTATGAATGTTGTCTAATTATTATCATTGCATTTTGCACAAATAATGGCAAAGTGTCTCAATCTAAGATTTTACAGTGTATAAAATATATCTTTCCATGCTTATTGTTATGTCTGCATGGACAGTTTACACTGAATCTGTTTGGTTTTTGATCGCAATCTATCTTATTTACAGCACACATTATTCAAATCGCCTGCTATGGCTGCCAGGGCATAAACACGGGCCCCCTGTGCCATACATAGGGTATGTAATGTGCCGCATAATACTGTTTATATCATGTGTATATATCATTCTAGCATACATAATCATCGTTCCTTTATATTAACCTTCTAAGGTAAATAGTGTATGCTGTCGCGGTGATTACGCCCGATATCATTTACACGGCTTTGTTTAAGTCATGTCATGAGTTATCGCCCTGATCTTTGTAAAGTTCAATCCTCACATCATCATATTTCCGTAATGTTTTAATGTACAGATAATATTGTCGGCGCCATGCATTCAAGCTCTATTAACATTTATAATGTTAATATACTGAATATATATAAATAGATGTCAATGTATGTTCTGCAAGCATGCCGAACATTGTTATTATATTGTTATTATATTGTTGCTACAATTGTTTCAGGGTTTATCGTGTATGTTGAAATCTACATCCACTTGGAATAAACAGAACTTACAACCCTGCATTCACTTTGCGTGTCGTCATTGTGACCCTGCTACAAAATTATAAGCGTACAATCGCAAATCAAAAGTGCAATATTTTGTACTTTTTTTTTCAGACGGGAGGAGTTTGAAAAGAGAAGGATAGCGGTATAGACACAGGGTGCAGAAAGGTTTTTTACTCACAAGGGAACAAAGAATTCCATTTCATACGAAATTTTTCATCCTTTTCTCCGAAAATATGTTCTTCTAGTTTGAAATGGTATTTTATGAAATATATAAGTTGGTTGATATTTAATTCCGTAAAGTCATATCTTGTTTTGTTAATATATTTCTTGATAATGATAAACAGATGGTTAATAAGGACAGGTGCCTCCGGTCTCCTAGCAGGAAATGTTTAACATTTATACTTATATTACAGCTAGTTTTGTATCGATACCACTCAACAAATGTTGTGAGAAGGTGTTTTGTTTTTCACAGAAATAAAATAAATGTTCTAAAGTTTCTATTTCTTTGTTGCAGAGGATACAGGCATTATCATCACTGATACCTATCTTAAAACAAAAATGACTTAGTTGTAACTATTCGATGAATCAGTTTATACTGAAAATTCCTGGCTTTATTTTCTATGGTAATTTTATTTATCAATTACAAAACAGTCACAAAGATAGTCATCTGCTAGAGTAATATTAAGTTTGGTTTCCCATTTCCGCTGAAGATTATAGAGAGAGCTTCCTTGACTTTCACATAGCTGAGTATATATGAATTTACAGTTAGCTGACTTGAGTATTTGTGTGAGAGTATTACACTGAGTGTTTACTGATTCTATCTTTTGATTTGTGTCTCTGATGGCTTTGATCCAGTGTTTGGGTATATATTTAAAAATCTGAAATAAAGGAGATATGTTTCTTTAAGGTTAAATTCTTCTTTTAAGCCGTATCATAGGACTTGAACTCACCGCTGTTCGGCACAATGTCTTTCATATATTTCATGCCTTTTTTATCCATGAGACGAACAACCCAATATCGCAACAGGTACAAAATTAAGAAGTGGCAAGCACATAAAATCTTCAACACTTTCACTAATTTTAGAATGGATACATGCATAGCATGAAACAACATCTTTCCAAAAATAGTTTTTAATATTTTTAGAGTAGGATTGCATTTTTCCACTTGAAAGCTGAATAGATTAATGTCACCAAAAGGTGATAATGTCTCAAATGCTAGGTGCTGCCACAACCCCTTTGATGTCAGTAATCTCCTTATCCATTTGATTTTCATGTACCTTGCAGAATGATATAACATCGATCATTTTTAAGCCACCCTTACAGTAGTCGCTTTATCAACATTTTCCTTCTGATTTTTATCACGCTTCCCACCCCAAATAAACGTAAAAAGTATAGTATTCAAACGTTTGAAAAAGAGTTTAGATGGATTAGGGAGGGCGATAAACAAGTGTGTAAAAAGGGGGATAATTTGAGTTTTAATTATCGTTATTCTGCCTATCAAAGTTAATGATCTATTTGACCACGAGAATAATATTTTTCTAATTTTTGAAAACTGCGGTTCGAAATTTAATGTAATCATTTCTTCTAAATTGGTTGAAAAAATTATTCCCAGGATTTTAAATGGTTCTTTTAATAATATGAATTAGCTCTGACAGTCCTCGTTCAGATCCATCTAAAGTGAAATTCATATCGTCTGCGTATTGGAAGATGAGATATTCTATATCTTTTATAGTAATACCATTGATATGCTTATTAGATTTAATTGCAATAGCCAATAGTTCGACACATGTTACAAAGAGATATGGCGCTACTGGGTCTCCTTGACGACATCCGCGTCCTAAGGAAAAGAAGTTCGACAACGAACCCGATAAAATTGAGGCACTACAGCTATTACGCTTGAAAGAGTTTAATCCACTTTCTAAGTACCGGCCAAAATTAAATACTTCCAGTACCTTGTCAATAAAGTCCCATTCGATAGTATCGAATGCCTTCTCAAAATCTATTGCAACTAAAGACCAGGTAGTTTATATTCTTCACAATAATTCATTAAGTCATATAATATTCGAGTATTTTCTCCTAGAAATCTATTTTTTAAGAAGCCTGTTTGAGTTTCACTTATTATCTCAGGAAGGACTTCTTTCAGTCGTGAAGATATGGCCCCAGATGCAATTTTGTAATCTACATTTAGAAGAGTTATAGGTCGCCAATTTGTTAAGTATCGCCTATCACGAGAGTCTTTAGGTCACTAGGCTTTGTTAGTTGGCCTACCTAATGTTACATGTGTCTACTGTGTGAGAGGTCCTGGTCACTAGGCTTTGTTAGTTGGCCTACCTAATGTTTCATGTGTCTGCTGTGTGAGAGGTCCTGGTCACTAGGCTTTGTTAGTTGGCCTACCTAATGTTACATGTGTCTGCTGTGTGAGAGGTCCTGGTCACTAGGCTTTGTTAGTTGGCCTACCTAATGTTACATGTGTCTGCTGTGTGAGAGGTGCTGGTCACTAGACTTTGTTAGTTGGCCTACCTAATGTTACATGTGTCGCTGTTTGAGACAGATCAAGGTTAATAGGCTTTGTTAGTTGGCCTACCTAATGTTACATGCGTCTGCTGTGTGAGACAGATCAAGGTTAATATGCTTTGTTAGTTGGCCTACCTAATGTTACATGTGTCCGCTGTGTGAGACAGATCAAGGTTAATAGGCTTTGTTAGTTGGCCTACCTAATGTTACATGTGTCTGCTGTGTGAGACAGATCAAGGTTAATAGGCTTTGTTAGTTGGCCTACCTAATGTTTCATGTGTCTGCTGTGTGAGACAGATCAAGGTTAATAGGCTTTGTTAGTTGGCCTACCTAATGTTACATGTGTCCGCTGTGTGAGACAGATCAAGGTTAATAGGCTTTGTTAGTTGGCCTACCTAATGTTACATGTGTCTACTGTGTGAGAGGTCCTGGTCACTAGGCTTTGTTAGTTGGCCTACCTAATGTTACATGTGTCTGCTGTGTGAGAGGTCCTGGTCACTAGGCTTTGTTAGTTGGCCTACCTAATGTTACATGTGTCTCCTGTGTGAGAGGTGCTGGTCACTAGGCTTTGTTAGTTGGCCTACCTAATGTTACATGTGTCTGCTGTGTGAGAGGTGCTGGTCACTAGACTTTGTTAGTTGGCCTACCTAATGTTACATGTGTCTGCTGTGTGAGAGGTGCTGGTCACTAGGCTTTGTTAGTTGGCCTACCTAATGTTACATGTGTCTGCTGTGTGAGAGGTCCTGGTCACTAGGCTTTGTTAGTTGGCCTACCTAATGTTACATGTGTCTGCTGTGTGAGAGGTGCTGGTCACTAGGCTTTGTTAGTTGGCCTACCTAATGTTACATGTGTCACGCTGTGTGAGAGATGCTGGTCACTAGACTTTGTTAGTTGGCCTACCTAATGTTACATGTGTCTCCTGTGTGAGAGGTGCTGGTCACTAGGCTTTGTTAGTTGGCCTACCTAATGTTACATGTGTCTGCTGTGTGAGAGGTCCTGGTCACTAGGCTTTGTTAGTTGGCCTACCTAATGTTACATGTGTCTGCTGTGTGAGAGGTGCTGGTCACTAGGCTTTGTTAGTTGGCCTACCTAATGTTACATGTGTCTGCTGTGTGAGACAGATCAAGGTTAATAGGCTTTGTTAGTTGGCCTACCTAATGTTACATGTGTCTGCTGTGTGAGAGGTCCTGGTCACTAGGCTTTGTTAGTTGGCCTACCTAATGTTACATGTGTCTGCTGTGTGAGAGGTCCTGGTCACTAGGCTTTGTGAGTTGGCCTACCTAATGTTACATGTGTCTCCTGTGTGAGAGGTGCTGGTCACTAGGCTTTGTTAGTTGGCCTACCTAATGTTACATGTGTCCGCTGTGTGAGACAGATCAAGGTTAATAGGCTTTGTTAGTTGGCCTACCTAATGTAACATGTGTCCGCTGTGTGAGACAGATCAAGGTTAATAGGCTTTGTTAGTTGGCCTACCTAATGTTACATGTGTCCGATATGTGAGACAGATCAAGGTTAATAGGCTTTGTTAGTTGGCCTACCTAATGTTACATGTGTCTGCTGTGTGAGAGGTGCTGGTCACTAGGCTTTGTTAGTTGGCCTACCTAATGTTACATGTGTCTACTGTGTGAGAGGTCCTGGTCACTAGGCTTTGTTAGTTGGCCTACCTAATGTTTCATGTGTCTGCTGTGTGAGAGGTCCTGGTCACTAGGCTTTGTTAGTTGGCCTACCTAATGTTACATGTGTCTGCTGTGTGAGAGGTCCTGGTCACTAGGCTTTGTTAGTTGGCCTACCTAATGTTACATGTGTCTGCTGTGTGAGAGGTGCTGGTCACTAGACTTTGTTAGTTGGCCTACCTAATGTTACATGTGTCGCTGTGTGAGACAGATCAAGGTTAATAGGCTTTGTTAGTTGGCCTACCTAATGTTACATGCGTCCGCTGTGTGAGACAGATCAAGGTTAATATGCTTTGTTAGTTGGCCTACCTAATGTTACATGTGTCCGCTATGTGAGACAGATCAAGGTTAATAGGCTTTGTTAGTTGGCCTACCTAATGTTACATGTGTCTGCTGTGTGAGACAGATCAAGGTTAATAGGCTTTGTTAGTTGGCCTACCTAATGTTTCATGTGTCTGCTGTGTGAGACAGATCAAGGTTAATAGGCTTTGTTAGTTGGCCTACCTAATGTTACAAGTGTCCGCTGTGTGAGACAGATCAAGGTTAATAGGCTTTGTTAGTTGGCCTACCTAATGTTACATGTGTCTGCTGTGTGAGAGGTGCTGGTCACTAGGCTTTGTTAGTTGGCCTACCTAATGTTTCATGTGTCTGCTGTGTGAGAGGTCCTGGTCACTAGGCTTTGTTAGTTGGCCTACCTAATGTTACATGTGTCTCCTGTGTGAGAGGTGCTGGTCACTAGGCTTTGTTAGTTGGCCTACCTAATGTTACATGTGTCTGCTGTGTGAGAGGTGCTGGTCACTAGACTTTGTTAGTTGGCCTACCTAATGTTACATGTGTCTGCTGTGTGAGAGGTGCTGGTCACTAGGCTTTGTTAGTTGGCCTACCTAATGTTACATGTGTCTGCTGTGAGAGGTCCTGGTCACTAGGCTTTGTTAGTTGGCCTACCTAATGTTACCCTGTGTCTGCTGTGTGAGAGGTCCTAATCACTAGGCTTTGTTAGTTGGCCTACCTAATGTTACATGTGTCTGCTGTGTGAGAGGTGCTGGTCACTAGGCTTTGTTAGTTGGCCTACCTAATGTTACATGTGTCTGCTGTGTGAGACAGATCAAGGTTAATAGGCTTTGTTAGTTGGCCTACCTAATGTTACATGTGTCTGCTGTGTGAGAGGTGCTGGTCACTAGGCTTTGTGAGTTGGCCTACCTAATGTTACATGTGTCTCCTGTGTGAGAGGTGCTGGTCACTAGGCTTTGTTAGTTGGCCTACCTAATGTTACATGTGTCGCTGTGTGAGACAGATCAAGGTTAATAGGCTTTGTTAGTTGGCCTACCTACTGTAACATGTGTCCGCTGTGTGAGACAGATCAAGGTTAATAGGTTTTGTTAGTTGGCCTACCTAATGTTACATGTGTCTGCTGTGTGAGACAGATCAAGGTTAATAGGCTTTGTTAGTTGGCCTACCTAATGTTACATGTGTCTGCTGTGTGAGAGGTGCTGGTCACTAGGCTTTGTTAGTTGGCCTACCTAATGTTTCATGTGTCTGCTGTGTGAGAGGTCCTGGTCACTAGCCTTTTTTTAGTTGGCCTACCTAATGTTACATGTGTCCGCTGTGTGAGATGTCCTGGTCACTAGGCTTTGTGAGTTGACCTACCTAATGTTACATGTGTCTGCTGTGTGAGAGGTGCTGGTCACTAGACTTTGTTAGTTGGCCTACCTAATGTTACATGTGTCTGCTGTGTGAGAGGTCCTGGTCACTAGGCTTTGTTAGTTGGCCTACCTAATGTTACATGTGTCCGCTGTGTGAGAGGTCCTGGTCACTAGGCTTTGTTAGTTGGCCTACCTAATGTTACATGTGTCTGCTGTGTGAGAGGTGCTGGTCACTAGGCTTTGTTAGTTGGCCTACCTAATGTTACATGCGTCCGCTGTGTGAGACAGATCAAGGTTAATAGGCTTTGTTAGTTGGCCTACCTAATGTTACATGTGTCCGCTGTGTGAGACAGATCAAGGTTAATAGGCTTTGTTAGTTGGCCTACCTAATGTTACATGTGTCTGCTGTGTGAGACAGATCAAGGTTAATAGGCTTTGTTAGTTGGCCTACCTAATGTTACATCTGTCTGCTGTGTGAGAGGTGCTGGTCACTAGGCTTTGTTAGTTGGCCTACCTAATGTTTCATGTGTCTGCTGTGTGAGACAGATCAAGGTTAATAGGCTTTGTTAGTTGGCCCACCTAATGTTACATGTGTCTGCTGTGTGAGAGGTCCTGGTCACTAGGCTTTGTTAGTTGGCCTACCTAATGTTACATGTGTCTGCTGTGTGAGAGGTCCTGGTCACTAGGCTTTGTGAGTTGGCCTACCTAATGTTACATGTGTCTGCTGTGTGAGAGGTCCTGGCTTTGTTAGTTTGCCTACCTAATGTTACAAGTGTCTACTATTTAAGACAGGTCATGGTCAAAGCCTATGTAAATTTATCCACACTTCAAGTTCAAGTCTTTTAGTTCAGCTGTTTGACAGACTAATCAGCTATCTACTGTTTAACCTCTCAAGAGTGTAGGTTGCACACTAGTGTCTTACCAATACAAAATATTAGCTATGTTGGAAGAAAATACAACATGTCAATTTGACTCCAACTTGGCTACTGCCTTGTACACTGGAATACATACAGAACATCAGTCATGTTAATCCGGGTGTAAGGTATCAATTCTCAGTGACTAGCAAAACAGAGGCTACAGCCTCAGTACAGATCTTGGACTGAGAGGCCCGACAGAGGAGATTGTAAACAAGTGAGCAAATAGGTGAGTAATCTGGACAAGTGATGAAGACATTATGTATAAGGAGTGACAAAGACACAAACGAAATCCTTCAATATTATACAAGGATGAAGATAACACATTACGCCTCGCTTCCTGACATATGATGAAGACACTACATAAAGCTTCAACAAATGACAAACATAGAAAGTACCAAGCTTAAGGTTTGAGTAGAGTGAGTTTAATTTTACCGCTTTCTAGCAATATTTCAGCAATATCACTCTGGGGGACACCAGGAAATGGGCTTCACACATTGTATCCATGTGGGGAATCTAACCCAGGTCTTCAGCGGATGAGTGAACGATTTAACCACTCAGGCTACCCCAATCACTTCTTAAGGTTTGAGACAACAGTAAGTTTGATAGCCGACAAAAGTTCAACACAACACTGGTTTCACTGTATGTCTTTAACTGATAAATGTTGTCATAATTTTATACAACAAACTTCCGGCACAGTGACAGCCCAATGATATCAAGCAGATGTCATATCGCCTCTAAGTCTCAAACCTTTGTGTAACATGGTCAGCCTTCTGTATCAAAAAGTGAGGACATTGGATCACTGAGCTCAAAGGAAAACAATTTTGCCTACCTCTGATGCTGCTTGAGGAGGGCTTCCAACTTCTCCTTCTCTGTCCTCATCACCTCCTGGTCATTCTTGTGTCGGTTCAGCAGGAACTCCTGTCACAGCAACCAGTAGTTATCAATACATTGTGACTGGTACTAAAGCCTACTTCTTCATCAACTATGATAACCTTTCAAAATATATCTGATGAAAATTTATATAAGTTTGAGAACAGCTGTGTACATGTACACGGAGATGCCTCAGTAACTCAGTCATAAGTAATACCGTACATATACAGGAAGATATTATTTCACTGACACCAAAACACAAGAGATCTTATAAGTTTTCGACATATATTTTCTATTTCTAATGAACAAATTAATGAACTCTGAAGATATTTCTGGAATATATATAGTAGATTTGAATGTATAGATGCAGATGCACACATCTACTGTCAGTATCAGTGTGTATTAGGGCTGGATGGGTCCAGATTTTCTACCCAGGTACCACCTCCATGACCCTACCCTACTAATACCCGTTATGTTAATTCCTGACATCAAATCTGTAAAAATGGCAACATATTTTCAGCTCGAGGCTAAAATTGAGTGCAACGCTTTATGAGATATCACGCTTACATAAGTTTGAAAAGTGGTCAAAGTGTCATGGTGACCTTTAAATATAAGGGTCAAGGTCACTAAAGTCACTGGTGTCTGCATGAAATTCCCCAATGTTGGCTGTCACCAAATTTGAAGACATTGGGTACTACAGTGCATGAGATATCTCGCTTACAACAGTTTGAAAAGCCGGTCAGTGTCGTGAGTGACCTTGAAAGTAGAGTCAAGGTCACCCAAATCAACTGGTGTCTGAACTTTGAATACACACCCTGGTTGCCCGTAATCATCCAATGCAGGCTGTCACCAACTTTGAATACATTGTGTACCACAGCCTATGAAAGTTATCGCGATTAACAACAGTTTGAAAAGTGGTCAAATCGTTGTGGTGACCTTGAAAATAAGGTCAAGGTCACCCAAATTGACTGAGTTCGCATAATCCCCCCAATGTAGGCTGTCACCACATTGGTGTAATCATATGTACAAGTCAGCAAAGTTGTCTTGGACCCATCTAACCTTCTTTGTAAAGCTGCTTAGACTTTTTGCAAGAACATGGGCCAATTTTGTTCTGATGCACCTCTGATAATCTCTGCCTTGTGAGATGGATAAGTTAAAATAGACTATAAATTGTCTGCATATGGCAAATATTTATACTATCCCTCACATGACAGACTCCAGCCTAACCAACCTCACTACACACATTACAAGATTGGTTCTCTCCTGAAGACAAGAGAAAGACTTCATAGGGGAATGATGTGGTCTCACCAGGAAAGATGAGTGCTTTGTATGAGTTTCCCAGTGACTGCTTACAATACATGGAGCAGGGCTGTGTTCAGTTTCTGTAACTGTTACACGAGGCTGGAAATTTTGTTTTAAGTTATTTCCACTCCAATGTTGAAAGAATAGAAACAGAAAGGGATAAAGTGAGAAAGGCTAAGCTTAAAAACACGAGGCTAAGTTTCAAAACAAATTCATTTAAATGGAAACAGTATATCAAAGACAATTTGACCTTTTCCTCTAGTTCCTTCCTCATCTTCATTTCGTGCCTTCACTGGACTTGTGGACTGCATATACTTGTTTCTGAAGGGCTTGCATTTCTTCCTCGAACTTCACTGATCTTCCCTGAATGGAGGAAAGAATACACATTAAATCATACCAACTCTTGCCTTGATGCAGTAATGGCCTTCAGGTGATAATTATTATTGTAATCATACAATGTTAGTGTGTAGCTTTCAGACAGTCATGGATCTGAACAGAGCAGAGGAACAATGCAGGCAACACATGTTCACACTATCTCTCAACACTAGTTCACACCCCTATCAATACATGAGACATCTAGCAGTGATAAATCCACAGAGTAGTTTGGTCACCAACTTTTGTCCAACCAAATGGCCATCTAGCACTTAATGTTCCATAATGAGTTGAAGCACCCACGCTTCAGATCATCATTTGTCTCCATGAGAACTGCCTCGCCCATACTGGCCTGTTTTTGCTGACTCAGCTCCCTCCTTGCCTTTGTCATTTCAAACTCAAGACTGTGACGTGGTTGCTCTACCTTATTCTTCTCAATCTGGGACCCCATTCTGGCTAACTGACCTTCCAGTGTAGTGACTCTAACACAGCATAGACAACAAACATGTATATTCACTAGCATGAACATGTAATACGTCTAGTTCCCATTCAAAATAGAAAGCAGACAACTTGTGTACAATGCTAAGAATACAACCTCTATTTCATTACACCCATAAATTTCAACACTAGTTTGAACATCATTATAACATCAGCTTATTGTGACACAACTCAAAAAGAGTTACTCCATCACAGGATAAAATACAAACACTGCTTTCAACCATTCAGCAATTCATCTTAGACTTCCTACACAGGTCTATCCCAGCAAAACTACATGTGAAGATGACACACAGAATATCATGGACTGACTGACTGACTGAGTTTGGTTTTACGCCGCTTTTAGCAATATTCCAGCAACATCACGGGCTAGGACACCAGAAATGGCTTCACACATTGTACCCATGTGGGGATTCGCACTCGGATCTTCGGCGTGACGAGCCACACTTTAACCACTAGGCTACCCCACCGCCCCGAATATCATGGATGTAACTAGAAACCATGGGAAACGTCCTGCTGTCAGATTTGCTTTAAGCAAGGGTTAACATCAGAAATTGGCGCTGTAGTCTAGTTCCTATTCTTTGTATTGTTTCTTTCATTTACAATCCAGAAACTCCTTTTCTTCAAAACATTAAAAACATATTTGTGAGCCGTGAAAGGTCTGGTTACTTTCACCACAGAGTGATTTCTAATGGTAAGAAAGATGGACCTGAGAAACCAGCACTACTCTCCCCCTGCCTTGTTGCGGGCAGTCGGTAAAGCCAGGTAGCATGATCCATATCATCCTTATTTTACACTCCAGCATTTAGTCATTAATAAATGTAATAAAAGTTACTTTGGCCCTATTTTCAAGACAACACAAAAAGAGATCAAAGTGAGTGAGCTTAGTTTTAGCAAGATTCCAGCAATATCACGGCGGGGAATAGCAGAAATGGGCTTCACACATTGTACCCATGTGGTGAATCGAACCCAGGTCTTCGGCATGACCGCCTTTAACCACTAGGCTACCTCGACGCCCCAAAAGAGATCAAAAGGGCGAAGTCATAAAACTCATGTACACACTAAACATCTGCTGTCACCACATCTACCTGTACACTGCCCCTTCCAATATAGAATAATGATAAAGGGCAAGAATTTTGAAACTGTACAGCTGTGTCAATATTATTTGGTGTGCTGGTCACAAGCAGTAGTGTGGACATTCCTACTGCTGTCAAGTTCTGCTGTATCATCAAACGACCATACCTCATTATTAGATCGACTAGCAGCTTCCAGGCGCTCTTTCTCTGCAGTGTTCAAGCGACGACGTAGTTGATTTGTGAGATCTGAAATCAGTTAAAGAACCACTAAACCTTGTTTTTTGTTACTCTTTTAACCATAACATATGAAAGATTTGAGGTTAGTCTTATGCGGAACGCCAAATTTATTCTTTAAAAACTTGTGGTTAATTAATATCGAGCGATTAAAAGTGGCCAAAAGTCGCCTGCTTCCCTCTCGCCAGCCAACGAAACCACAGACAGGTTACGTAACTCTGTCGCCAGAGCACTGCAGTGACGTCATATGAGGAACGATTTTCAGTTAGTTGTATAGAAAGTGTGTAGCACGCTCATCATTTTGATGATTTCTCGACATCAAATCTAATTTACATGCCGAATCTTTTGCTTTGTCGCCAATTGCTCTTAGGGTCGGGCGATGGTGTCACCATGCACAGATTTCCACAGGACCCCGCAGAAGTTCGTAAGCTAAATGGGTTATGTTTGTGAGTGCGGTTTAGCTGTTAGGAAGCCTGAAACCATATCTTACTTGTGTTCAGATCGCTTCACGGAAGTTAAAGAATCAAAACTACTACTTACTAGTTGTAGTAAAATATGTATATGAATGATGACCATAAAGATTTTCCATGACACAACTTGTGACATAACGATTTCTTCCTCGGAAGTGAGGTTGTGGTCAAGTAACAATAATATTGTAAAGAGTATTATATTGACACCCACCTCGCTGCCAGGAGACATTGTTATGTTATAATGCTATGTCATGCAAAATCCTATTGGCTATCAATAAAATACATATTTTACAACCAGTAGAAATTAGTTTTGATTTTGTAACTCGGTGAAAACAAAACTAAATAGCATTTATCCTCAGACTGGATGGATGTTTCATACAGGGCTACCATTTTGAAAATCGTGAAAGTCTGTTAGAATTTATGAGATTATAGTTTGTTTTCATCAAGTTAGAAAATCAAAACTACTTTCTACTCAGAAGTTAAATATGTATTGGAATCATAACCAAACGGATTTTGCATGACACAACTTATAACATAACGATTTCTTCCACGGAAGCCAGGTGGGGGTCGAAGTGACAATACTGCGCGATAAATGTCTTGCTACATTCACATGGTTAATGTCCACTCACCAGTATGTAGATACTAGTCAATGTGCGTCTTTATTTTTGGTCTTATAATCCTAATTAGTTTATTATCATACTTGTATGAATTTTGAAACTAAATAAAAAGCAGACGATCTGCTGATACTTATAGTGAATTTATAACAGAACTGTAATATCTAGACATTTTATAGTTTGCCAATGTGAATCATAATTCGCATCAATACACCCTAGCTGTATGTTGTCTGTCTCATTACACTTCACGGCGAAAAAACAATGATTCTGTTGAATGCTACGACAAAATGAATGAAAACAACATGCAAACATTAAAATTAAAACAGATTAAAGTTATAAGAACAATATCAGGCCATTACCTTGTTCGTGGAATGTATCCATCAATATCCACAAAACTGTTCCAAATGATGTGTCCTGAACAGTTTGATATACGAAAAAGTGATAAATCTTTTCAGGTATTGGTGTATAGTCTCATTGGTCACCCAAGATAGCACACCTGGCAACTAATTGCATAATGTCCGCCTTTCTTTAAAAACAGTAAATTAGTTAGCCAATAATGGACAATCAATCAATTTATCGCCGGTTAATCCTTTGAAAGAAGGACGTTGTTTTTACGCAGACACCGACACGACCGAGTGTATTCAGTATAGATTAGTAAATCTACATACATAAACACTACCTTTTGACAATTCCGCTGTATAAGATAAAAGTAATTAATCAATCAGCGTGTTATCGGTTAATCCTTTGATCGATGTTTATAATGTTGAATATTTACTCCAGGCACAAGAAATGCCAAATGGGGACCTTTGTCGGGTAATCTAAGTGTGTTACCACTAATTATACCTGTTATAAATTCATTAAATGACCATCAAGTGAATGATGACAAATAACATGTGTAGGTTTATACCACCTAACACGGGTTACAACGGAGTATTAATTGCTGTATTGCATGTGAAAACTAATGGGCGGACACTGTTTTGAAAATACAAACAGATTTTTACATGACATGATTAAATATCGAGGTAAAAAAACACAGAAATGGGATCAATTTGGATCAGTCATTATACAAATAGGGCCTAACGACACCAATCGATTTTGACAGAATCGTCTATGAAAACAAGTTGTAACTCGGAAACTAGGCAAAGCCGGAGACAAACTTAAATGACAGTAGATTGTGAGAACATATAGCTTTCATTTTCCACAACAATTGTCACGATTTCAGGTTTATACAATCCTGTAAACAAGATAATTTACCCCCTAAAATGTAGATGAATTCTGCATCGGCCCTCAAAGCTATTCCTCATATGACGTCACAGAGACGCGCCGCTCTGATTGGTTGAAATTTCGTTCGCGGGTGAGAATTGTGCACTGTTGTCAAAAAGGTCGATTTAAGTCAATTAAAGGTCGAAATGAGTAGTTTTAATGACGGGGTTTCAATCATAACGATGCCAGTAAGTGATTTATGTATTTGTACCCCCTAGGGTTTATGTGACCTTTAAGATGAAAATAAGGTCAAACAATGAATGGCAGTTACTTACATAGTTTGTCCTTTCCTTTCAACAGCTTGCTCAAACTGCATGACATACCTTGCTAAGAATGTAACACTTATCTTGCTAAGATTGAAACACTCACCTTGGTAAGATTGTAACACTCACCTTGCTAAGATTGAAACACTCACCTTGCTAAGATTGTAACACTCACCTTGCTAAGATTGAAACACTCACCTTGCTATGATTGTAACACTCACCTTGCTAAGATTGAAACACTCACCTTGCTAAGATTGAAAACTCACCTTGCTAAGATTGTAACACTCACCTTGCTAAGATTGAAACACTCACCTTGCTAAGATTGAAACACTCATTTTGCTAAGATTGTAACACTCACCTTGCTAAGATTGTAACACTCACTTTGCTAAGATTGTAACACTCACCTTGCTAAGAATGTAACACTCACCTTGCTAAGATTGTAATGCTCACTTTGCTAAGATTGAAACACTCACCTTGCTAAGATTGTAACACTCACCTTGCTAAGATTGAAACACTCACCTTGCTAAGATTGTAACACTCACCTTGCTAAGATTGTAACACTCACCTTGCTAAGATTGAAACACTCACCTTGCTAAGATTGTAACACTCACCTTGCTAAGACTGAAACACTCACCTTGCTAAGACTGTAACACTCACCTTGCTAAGAATGTAACACTCACCTTGCTAAGATTGTAATGCTCACTTTGCTAAGATTGAAACACTCACCTTGCTAAGATTGTAACACTCACCTTGCTAAGATTGAAACACTCACCTTGCTAAGATTGTAACACTCACCTTGCTAAGATTGTAACACTCACCTTGCTAAGATTGAAACACTCACCTTGCTAAGATTGTAACACTCACCTTGCTAAGACTGAAACACTCACCTTGCTAAGACTGTAACACTCACCTTGCTAAGATTGTAACACTCACCTTGCTAAGATTGAAACACTCACCTTGCTAAGATTGAAAACTCACCTTGCTAAGATTGTAACACTCACCTTGCTAAGATTGAAACACTAACCTTGCTAAGATTAAAACACTCATTTTGCTAAGATTGTAACACTCACTTTACTAAGATTGTAACACTCACCTTGCTAAGACTGAGTGTTTCAATATTAGCAAGGTGTTTCAATCCTAGTAAAGTGAGTGTTTCAATCCTAGTAAGGTGAGCGTTTCAATCCTAGCAAGGTGATTGTTTCCCCTTACTAAAATTGAAACACTCACCTTGCTAAGATTGTAACACTCACTTTGCTAAGATTGTAACACTCACCTTGCTAAGATTGTAACACTAACCTTGCTAAGATTGTAATGCTCACTTTGCTAAGATTGATACACTCACCTTGCTAAGATTGTTACACTCACCTTGCTAAGATTGTAACACTCACATTTAATACTTATCTTGCTAAGATTGTAACACTCACCTTGCTAAGATTGTAATACTCACCTTGCTAAGATTGCTAAGATTGAAACACTCAACTTGCTAAGATTGTAACACTCACCTTGCTAAGATTGAAACACTCACCTTGCTAAGACTGAGTGTTTCAATATTAGCAAGGTGTTTCAATCCTAGTAAAGTGAGTGTTTCAATCCTAGTAAGGTGAGCGTTTCAATCCTAGTAAGGTGATTGTTTCCCCTTACTAAGATTGAAAGACTCACCTAAGTAGGATTGACACTAAGGCTTACCTTAGGAATTGTTAACAATCAATCTGACTCCTGGCAACTGCTTCCTCACAATGAAATCTCATCTGAGAACATGAAGACCTTGCAGTGTTTCTTCCCCTCAAAACAGACCTGGTTAGTGTCGTGTTTTCTTCGGTGTTTTAGAGTACTTATGAATTGATGACATAAGAGCATGGGTCGATCACAACTTGTTTAATCAAGTGCTGGTACCAGAATGACCATGATGCATTTGCTCAAAATGGTGATGTCACGATTGGTCAATGACGTCACGTCATGAGGCAGTAATGACATTTACAACACACTATTAGTAAATAACTAATCATTGAGATAGATACATAACAGTTAGTCCAGTACCTTGCTCACTGTTTAACTCACCTTGCTCAGACTTTTCAACTCACCACGCTCGGACTGTTTAACTCACCTTGCTTGGACTGTTCAACTCATCTTGCTCACTGTTCAACTCAACTTGCTCGGACTGTTCAACTCACCTTGCCCGGACTGTTCAACTATCAAGCTAAAATTGTAACACTTACCTTGCTAAGATTGTAACACTAACTTTGCACAGACTGTTCCACATACCTTGCTCAGATTGAAAATCCAGCTTTAACTGCTTCATCTGGATTCTCATTTGACTCATGTCCACATCATACTGACCACTGATGTCCAGCAGAGAGGAAAACCCACCACTCTGAAACATTGACAGAAGACACAGTCTACAAACTATCTATGTTACTGTATGTACAGACATGTCAGGTGACTCATGGGTGGAAAGGCTTGTGAAACACTTTAAAATATTTCTTAAAACAAAAACTACAAAAAGTCAGTATACAAAAGAGGTTATTTGGTCAGATCTCATTACATCAAATCTTGCCTGTTGAAACTTTGAGACACCCGGAGATTTGAGCTAATGAAGTATGAACACCCACACAGACGATCAAGCAATGGTACTTAATCTGTTATTATAGATACATAGCAATACAACTGAATACACAAGAAATTAGGAAACTACAAAGTGATACTATTGCCACAAACTGGTTAATGTCTGGGACATTGACAGTAGCTTCACCCGGCTCTGACTTTAATTCAACTTTGAATGTAAGTTTTCATGAAAACAGGAAGAGCCAAAATATTTGTTCCATGTCTATACATGACGTTTCATTTGTTAATGAAGACAACCATTACAATTGCATTAAATGAGACGTTAATAATTGACTGAACAACTGGTTCAAATTGCACTCTATTTTACAGTGATTTTAAATGTTTGGGAAACATAATAGACATACATATATGAAAGAGAAGGGGTCACCACTATTTGAGATAGTATTTTGTGCTTCTCAAAGTCCTTATTGTGGCAAATTTCAACTTTAAGACAAAGGTACCAAGTTCCTTAGTTAGGTCACAGCTTGGACCAAGTCTAATGTTTAAGACAGCACTCTGCCTTTTATCTCAAAGACACAAGCATGCAAACTTATACAAATTCAGCTGATGAGGTGAGGTTGTGGTGAGAACAGGTATGGGTGTAAATTGTAATCAAGTTGATAGGCTTCCACTGCATTTGTTTCAATGTTTTCCTGTCCTCATGTTTCAAAAAGGCATTTCTGTGAAATTATGAAAAAAAATATATCATTAGCATGATCACAGATATCTATATCCATAGTAGGACCTTCTATAGTACAAACACAAATGCTTCACGTTCATACTTGAACTGGTAACACATCGTGATTGGTTAACGTACCTTGTCCATTTGTCCCTTAAACATGGGTGACTCGGTCATGTACTTGTTAGACAAGCTGTTTAAGGTGTCGTCCTGTCGGCTGGTGTCCATGTTGGTGTCTTACTGAGTCACACCAACTGCAGCTGGTGGTGTCCAATGTCATACACGCATCAATCGTCTGGACAAACAGTGGACAGACAGAATATTGGTGTTCACATTTTTTGGCATAGTTGTGACAGATCAGTAATAACAGTTCAGGCACAGAAATCAGTTTTTAACCTAAACCTGGAAGTAAAAGCAATCATTTTATGACCATTATATTTATAGTTAGAATACAAATGACAAGATTTTAAGTAATATTCATAAATTTCCTAGAATTACCATATGCAGGAAATATGAAGTGAAATTTTGTTTCAATGCAGTTAAAATTACAAAGTATATACTTTCTCAAATTTATTTGTACATTGTGATGTCATTCACACTCAAAATAAGATGGATTAACTAAAATCAAGAAACATATGAGTAATTACTCGAAGTCATAAATGTCTTCTAACTTTTTCTATTGCATTTTTCTTTTGAGTTTGGCATGATATTGCTTGATAGTGGTTCACTATGCCAAATCTGCTGAAAATTATCCAAACAGTTTATTTTCCAATCATAACCATGATCATAGTATACATACACCCACTTGATGGGAGGCTAGTGATATTTATAACCTTTAAACTGACAGTGACAGTCATAAATCTATGAAACTACACATTTTGACATTTACATGTTTTCCATGGCCGTGCATTCTTGAAACCATGTAAACACTGACAGACTACCTCAATATTCATAGGAAAACCCATGGGAACTCCCTGTCACTATCAAATTCTGATAAAATTCTGATAAAATTTAATCTTGAACTTAGCATTTTTGCACACACTTCGAGGTCAGATAGTCTTACTGCATCCCCATTCAAGGATGATTCATTAATACGACCCGACATAATAAACGAAATGAAAAAGGTACATCCTAACCATTGACTTGATCAGTGTTTAGACTGACATGTGACAGTCTTCAGCCATCGATACATTTACCTCTGTATCTATTTGACACACCTATATACCCTAAATCAATCACCTTTCAGTGATCTGTCAATTGATCGATCGATCATGACGTGAAATTTGAACTAATTTGCACAGTTTCGTGATCAGCTTCAAAAGTCAGAGCATATGAATGCAACGTGCAGTGATACTAGTATTGTTACTATAAACGTACTGTACCTCTGACCTGTAAACAATCCTGTGGTAAGCCCAACTTCCCGAACCAAGCCAAAACACTAAATCTTCGAACAGGAGATGCACAACACAGGCTTCATGGTAACGGGTGAAAGGCATATACATGGAATGAAATCTATGCTTGACCACGTAATAATGATTTAGGTATGTGTTACGTCCACATTTCACATTGCACACACGGTATATTCTCACTCGAAGACATGTCTGAACTAGAATCATTCATTCACATTCATTCGGCGGGACAGCGAGCCAGTGTAGATAGTTCTACAAGTTCAATAGAGTAGTAACCTAACACCGTAAAGGCCCCGCATTATCTCATCAGTTGGACATACTTACGTCAAATCATTAGAGGCAATAATGCTGAACCAACTTAACCGTAGTCTAAGATACAGATTTGTTTCCGCCGCCATTCGCGCAACTGTGTTGTTGTCCAACGCGACGTTTGATTGGCTAAAAATTGGAAATCCCCGACCGGAAACAGTACATTATGAACTTACCTCTGCAATGGTGTGTATCTCGGGTCACATATAGGTGTGGGTCTCAGATGTTTGTTCATGTACGCTTTCTCTGAATGCTCACTCCAGGTGCTGCAGTGTTACGCAAAGGGGCGAGTGGTAACGAATGAACAGTTGGTGTAAGTGCTTACGGCGTTTGTCACCACGATAGGACACTCTGAGATTTTTAACGGAAAAAGCCGAGGCTGGTCCCAAAGAACGAGGACTGCAGAATGTAAAAGGTGTCCATCTGCTTGCAGATCCCTATATTCATGATGATGATAAATTGGCCGACAACACATTAGGATGTGCTGCAAGGATTTTGCAAAGCCAATCACTGTTCTTTCGAAATAGATAACGTAATGTGTGAGTGAATGTAGTCTATGAGTGAGTGAGTTTAGCTTTACGCCACACTCAGCAAAATTTCAGTATATGGCGACAGTCTGTATAATATTAATAAATAATCGAGTCTGGACCAGGCAATCCAGTGATCAACAGCGTGAGCATCGAATTTTGATTCGAGGACATGTTAGGGCAGCATTTCTATTTTGCGTGTTTCTCATCGCCGGACTAATTTTATTGCCGACCCCCAAAACCTTTTTGTTTTCATTCCACCACCGCCGACTCGAACCTAAAACGTACCGCCTTATTATATAAAATGTTTATCTTATAATCAGTCGGTGCCACAAGTCTAAAGAACGCAAGGAATTGTAATAAGAATTACAATAAACGAGAAATCAAGAACTTTATTCAGAAAATCTTTATTAAGTTGTTGGGTGTTTTTTACCCCAACCGACCGACCGACCCATGTTCAGAATTTGGTTCAGATCAACTTCTAACCACTTTATTGTGTACAGAAACAAGAGGCTAATTCTCCGCATAATATGATTGTCACCACTGTAACACTACCTTGTAACGCCACAATATGTCGACCAATAAAGAGTAGCATGTGTTTCTGCTGGTAGGGGATCTCCGTCCGTATTCACAGTACTCTTGGCTAACCATTGGGAAACTACATACTGACGATTTATAGGAGCACACTTACAATAAAACATAATCGTATGACTTCTTAACACAACATATGCTCCCAGACAGTGGACCAAATTTGTCAAATACGATTGCATTGCTACAGGTTACACAAAACCAAATGTTTTCCCATAGACTTCTATAGTATATATTTCAAAATCATCCAGGCTGTCAACAGGCATTCCCTGTACACATGGGTACAGTCTGGCCTTTAAACTACAAGAAAAACATAAAATCCGGCTAGCTTATCCTGTTTAGTATCTGTGCACACATTATTATTATTATTATATTATTATTATAGGATATTTATATAGCGCACATATCCACGCACTAGTGCATGCTCAAGGCGCTGTTATTTTTTCCCTCGATCATTGGATGTCAATCTCAACGGCACATCGCATTATCAATCTCAACTCCTTGGGGAGTATACAACTCTTGCAGCCCTAGGCGCACCGAGTTATTGTGGCTTTCTCATCCTAACATTAGCATTAGTCTTGGTGTTGAATACGACTGCTCTAAAAACTTAAAATTGTGGATGGATGTGCTTTTACAAAACATAAAAATCTTACACTATTTCATCTAATCACAACTGTCATATGTCTATCTGGCCAGAATTTTACTCACGACACTGCCTGTGTAACAAAACCAGCTCTCAACACACTGTTTCACTGGAATAATGCATTCATAAGTTCTATAGACGCTGTCTGATTGGTTTAAGCCATGCTCCCAGCACGATCGCTTGGCTGGTAGCTGTCTCTTGTGTCTTTTTTTGTGTGGCAGATTGTTGGCTAAATGTATGTGTAATACACTCTTCAAAACAGAAGCGCACATGCGCTTTCAGCAGTTCATTGCGATATATTTTGACAGCAACCGTTATTAAGACAATAAATTATTCCAATGTTTGAATCCCGTTAATCGTGTCGTGGTCGTTGTGTATTGCGCGCAAACGCATCCAAAAATGTATAATTTGTAAACGTTTGTCATTAACAATGAGTCGGAAACATGAGTAGAGATATCGACCATGAAAGGCCAAACCAAATTCATTATTTCCGGTTCCGAAATTTACTTAGGAGATAAACATCATGTGTTGGCCAATTTCCGGGTGTTATTGAGTATTTGAAGCACGGGAATTCATTTGGAACCGACGGCGTCAGCCGGAGGTTTCAAATGAAATATTCCCGTGCTTCAAGCCTAAACTCTTCAAAAAACGAAACGCACGGACCCAAAATAAAGAAATTTATTAAATATATTTAAGTGTACGTAAGTAGAGTAAGCTTGAACACGGATGAAGGAAATTCGACACACGCGTGAACATATGTATTGTTGTCAGTGGCAGTATTAATACAGTTCACTCACTGCACGGGAATTCATTTGGAACCGACGGCGTCAGCCGGAGGTTTCAAATGAAATATTCCCGTGCTTCAAATACTCAATAACACCCGGAAATTGGCCAACACATGATGTTTATCGACATTGTAAACACAAAAGTAAACCAAAAGGTCCACACACGTATTTTGTGTCTGCTCTCATTGACATCGAGTACGGGTACAGCAGTGAAATGTCATCAGCCGGCCGTTTCGGCTGTCTCTCATGGTATCATCTGGAACTGCTCATTTGTGACGTCATTCGGACTTTACGTCACAATATGATTTTAATGACGTCATCACAGCTGATGACGTAACAATACAATGGTGTGAGCGATGTTTGTATGTATTAATACGCAGAGAATTTCCAGGAATCAAATACCATTTGGTCACGTTTTTCAACCAATCAGATTAAAGAACACAGTGACTTTTGGTTTACAATTCTACGTAAACGAAGATGAAAAACGAAGATTGAATGCTACTGACCGAAATATCGCCATTGGACGTTTGGAAGTAGGGGAGTCCCAGTCTGCCGTTGCAAGACACTTCAATGTCCACTACAGCACCAAATCTCGATTATGGCATCGATATTCCCGCTTCAGTTCGACCCAAGATCGTCCCAAAATTTGAAGACCAAGAGTGACAACTCCTGCTCAGGACCGATTCATCCGGGGTTTTCATCTTCGTCGCGATTTGCTACAGCAATGGACACTGCAGGACAGGTGCCTGGTCTCCAAGAATTTCCGACCAAACCATCAGAAATCGTCTGAGAGAAGTGGGACTTCGAGCATAGCGACCAAAATTTGGACCTGTCCTGACACGACTACACCTACAACGACGTGTCCAATGGTGCAACAGGGTACAGGCATGGAACCTGTGGAACTGGCGACGCGTTTGATTAAATGATGAATCGCGTTTCCTCCGGCAACGACCGAATGGGAGACAACGTGTCTATCGACGTCGACACGAACGTTTCGCGCGGAACTGCGTTCGACAGATGGACAGATTTGGTGGATCAAGCGTCATGGTGTGGTGAGATATGTCCTACACGGTAGATCAGAGCTAGTGGTGGTTCAAGGCAATTTTACAGCAAATCGCTTCATCGATCAAATCCTGTGATCTCACCTCCTCCTTCTTTTTAACCGCCAGAGGGAGCTGTTTCAACAAGACAACGACAGCCTATCTCGCCAATGCAAACGTCACTGTCCTTCTCTGGCCTTTCAAATCGCCTGATCTGAACCCGATCGAGCATCGTTGGGACGAAATTGATCGATGCGTACGTAAACATCACCTTCGTCTACATACACATGCAGAACTTGCCAACGCGTTGCAGGAGGAATAGCAAGCAAACATCCAACGGCTTGTGCAATCCACTGATTGAGCAGTGACGGTTGCAAGGGGTTGTGTCACCCGGTACTGACCTGAAGGCCACCTCGTGTTCACACATGTGCAGTGAGTGAACTGAATTAATACTGCCACTGACAACAATACATAAGTTCACGCGTGTGTCGAATTTCCTTCATCCGTGTTCAAGCTTAATCTACTTACGTACACTTAAATATATTTAATAAATTTCTTTATTTTTGGTCTGTGCGTTTCGTCTTTTGAAGAGTTTACCTTTAGGCTTGAAAGGCAGTTCCATCTGTACTGCTGAGTGTTGAGAAAAGACACCAGAGGGTTCAACCCACTCATAATTATGAATATTGTTTTTATACTTTAATAAAGAAACATTTAAATTACATGTTAATACAATTTGATGCAGAGTAAGTTAGTCACGTGCAATGTAAGTGTTCATTCATAATTGTTAAATGTATATTGTCAATTATTTTCAGGTATATTCATATATTAAGTCAGTAGCATATATATTGTCTTACAACTGTCAAAAATAATAATAATCAGGCCATTTATATTGCGCTAAATCCACACCGACAGCATGCTCAGACAAGATTAAGAGTCACTTGTAAAACACAGACAAAAGGTATGTGTTGTATGTGTCACTGCTGTGCTTGTTCTAGGGTGGGCTGGTAACTCATTCCATGTCATGGCGGCCGTAACTTGAAATGCGCGAAAAACATAGGATTTCAACTTTCCGATAGGCTGACTAAAATTTTGCCATGAGATTGTCCTGCTCCAGGAAATACAAAAGCTGTGCACTCACAGATATGCATTTACAGCTTTTCGAGGATTTTCGATAAGAAAGACAAATTGGAAATTTGGTCGATAATGTTTCAATGTATTGTTGTCCAAGCTAGAGATTTTATCAGAGGTTTCACTGCTGCCGATTTTAAAGCATTCGGCACTTCACCACTAGCAAGACTAATGTTTATGATCCTGGTAATCACAGGGAGGAGGACATCCATCAGCCCAAGGAAGACATCCGTCGGGACTGGGTCCAACTCGCAAGTAGTTTTCTTGGAGCTAGTTATTTGACTCAGAACCTGGTTTTCAGTTAAGGGTTGAAATTTGCACATCTTGGATCCAATAGATATCTGCTTTCTCGATAATATTCTGACCACTTGGAACGAAGGCTTTTCTAATAGTA